GCTGGTTTTGAACTCCTGACCTTGAGCAATCCGCCCGCCTCGGCCTCCCAAGAGCTAGGATTACAGGCGTGAGCCACAGCGCCCGGCCTTCACCTCCATTTTAAATCTATTCCTAAGTGTTTTATTTTTGGTGTAGCTATTGTAAATGAGATTGCCTTCTCGATTTTTTTATTAAGCTGCTTCGTGATTTTCTTTTTCAGCTAGTTCATTGTTCATGTTTAGAAACCCTACTGATTTTTATATGTTGATTTTGTATGCTGCAACTTAATTCATTTATCAGTTGTAAGAGTTTTGGGGTAAGTATTTAGGTTTTTTTTATATATGGGATCATTGTCTGCAAATAGGAACAATTTGACTTTCTCCTTTCCAATTTGGATATTCTTTATTTCATTCTCTTGCCTACTTGCTCTGGCTAGGACTTCTAGTACTATGTTGAATATGTATGGTGAGAATGAGCACTCTTGTCTTATTCCAGTTCTTAGTTCAAAGGCATCCTTGTCTTCTTCCAGTTCCATACTTAGTTGACAGCCTCAGTATGATATTAGCTGTGGGTTTGTCAGATATGGCCTTTATTATGTTGAAGTACTTTCTATCTATATAGTTTTTTGTTTATTTGTTTTGTTTTTTGAGACAGATTCTCGGTTTGTTGCCCAAGCTAGAGTGAGTGCGTGGCGTCAACCTAGCTCACAGCAACCTCAAACTACTAGGCTCAAGCAATCCTGCTGCCTCAGCCTCTGGAGTAGCTGGGACTACAGGCATGCGCCACCATTCCTGGCTAATTTTTTCTATATATATTAGTTGGCCAATTAATTTCTTTCTATTTATAGTAGAGACAGGGTCTCACTCTTGCTCAGGCTGGTTTTGAACTCCTGACCTCGAGCAATCCCCTGACCTTGGCCTCCCAGAGTACTAGGATTACAGGTATGAGCCACCGCTCCTGGCCCTATATAGTTTATTGAGAATTTTTATCATGAAGGGATATTGGATTTTATAAAATGCTTTTTCTGCATCTATTGAGATGACCATATGGTTTTTGTCCTTCATTCTGTTGAAGTGATGTATTACATTTATTGATTTTCATATGTTAAACCATCTTTACATTCCTGGGATAAATCCCACTTGATCATGGCTTATTATCCTTTTGGTGTTTTGTTGGATTTGCTAATCTTTTGTTGAGGATTTTTGCATATATGTTTATCAGGGATATTGGCGTATAGTTTTCTTTTTGGTATCAAAACCAGCAAAGACACAACTGGTATCTTTGGAGTTGTAGAATGAGTTAAGAATTCCCTCCTTTTTAATTTTTTGAAACAGTTTGAGAAGGATTGATATTAATTCTTATTTTTCAACAATTAATCCTGAATTTATTTTATTTCCATTTGTAGAAAGTCTGAAATATTTTCCATTGACACTTCATAAAGACAGAGCTATAGAGTTCTATCTCATTTTGCAATGGATTACCAGAAGGAGGTAGCATATTATATGGACTATCATAAAAACCAAGACAAGAAACTAATAAACCTATATTCTCTAAAAACTATTTGCATCACCAGATCATTATGTATAAGCACTTCTTTTTTGGGGGGAGGCGGGGGGACAGAGTCTCACTTTGTTGCCCAGGTTAGAATGAGTGCCGTGGCGTCAGCCTAGCTCACAGCAACCTCAAATTCCTGGGCTCAAGCAATCCTCCTGCCTCAGCCTCCCAAGTAGCTAGGACTACAGGCATGCACCACCATGCCTAGCTAATTTTTTGTATATATATATATATTAGTTGGCCAATTAATTTCTTTCTATTTATAGTAGAGATGGGGTCTCGCTCTTGCTCAGGCTGGTTTCAAACTCCTGACCTTGAGCAATCCGCCAGCCTGGGCCCCCAGAGTGCTAGGATTACAGGCGTGAGCCACTGCCCTCGGCCTGTATAAGCACTTCTAAGGCATGGAGGAAATTAGCACTTCATAGCTACAAGCATGAGATGCCACTTTCTATAATCATCTTTATTTCTTTCAACTGATGGAAATTTCCATCTCACTTAAGGATTTAGGGGAAACAGGATCAGGAACATTTCTTTTGGCCTATATCCTTTTGTGTTTTTTTTCTCTCTCCTGACACTTTCTTATTAGTCTAGAATTCTTATTTTTCAAAAACAGGAGATTAGGTTGAATTTTTATCTCTTTGAAATGTATTTCACTGGACCTCTTATAAATCACTTCCTTAGCTAAAGTGAATTTGTAATTATTTTTAAATTTCTAAGTCCCTAAGGGGTCCCATATTCTTTAGGTTATTTTAGTTAGAATTTTGTATTTTAACATTGCCTAGAGTTATTAATTCTTTTTTTAAAGGTTCAGTAGAACTCAGCAGTGACAATTTGACTATAATGTGCCTCAGAGAGGATCTGTTTGGATTGAATCTATTTGGGATTCTTTGAGCTTCCTGGACCCCGATATTCATCTCTCTCTGAAGACTTGGGATGTTTTCAGATATTATTTCCTTAAATATACTTTCTACACCTTTTCCCTTTTCTTTGTCTTCTGGAACATATATAAAATGAATATTTGTTCACTTGATGGTAATCTATAAATCCATAAATAAATAAATAGGCTTTATTTAATATTTAATCCATAAATAGGCTATATTTAATCCATAAATCCATAAATAGGCTTTCTTCTTTCTTATTCTTTTTTCTATATATGTGTGTCTGCCTGTGTTATTTCAAAATACTTGTCTTTAAGTTCAGAAATCCTTTCTCCTACTTGGTCTAGTCTGTTATTGAAGCTCTTGATTATATTTTTAAATTTCATTCATTGAATTCTTCAGCTCCAGGATTGCTGTTTGGTTCTTTTTAATGATATCTATCTCTTTGTTAAATTTCTCTTCAAATTATGAATTGTTTTCCTGATTTCATTGAATTGTTTATCTGTATTTTCTGGTATTTCACTGAGTTTTCTTATTATTGTTTTGAATTCTTTTTATGGCATTTCACATATTTCCTTATGATTGGGGGTCTATTACTGGATAATTATTGTTTTCCTTTGGAGGTGTCTTTTTTGGGGGGGGGCTTTTTCATGTTTGATTTGTCCCTATGTTGATTTCTATGCATCTGGTGGAAAGATAACCTCTTCCATTTTTATGGAGTATGGAAAGACTTATTCGCATGAATGGATCTTGTGGTATCAGTTTGGTGGGATGGGTTGCCCTTGGTTTTAGGCGGATGCAGTAGCGTAGTCTCTGTGTAGTTTCTTCAGCTGCAATCCACACTAATGATGTTTACAAGAGTCCCCGTGGCCTCGACTGAGAGAGTATGTGGCAATAGTAGCATGGCTTTATTGATGGTGAGCTCACCAGGCTGTTTCTTGGGGTCGTGTGTGTTCACGAGGTGGCTCAGCCAACTAGCCAACTTGGGGTCTGGCTTGCTGATGTTGAGACCATACGCCGTTACTCTAGCGAGGAGCCCAGGCATGGGGTTGCTCAGGTGGCTTGGGAGCATGCCTGCCAGGAGTAGCCCACAGGGCTTTTTCTCAGGCCTGGCATGTAGGCATGAGGCTGGTTGGCCAGCTTGGGGTATGTCTGCCAAGTGTGGCCTGTGGAACTGTTTCTCAGGTCCTGACTGCAGATTCAGGGCCATTGGCCAGGCCTGGGGTGTGTCTGTGGGTACTTTCTGTGGCCCTGATTTTGGGTTCAGGGCTGTTGGCCAGGCCAGGGGTATGTCTGTAGGGCAGGGGGACTACAGGGCTGTTTCTCAGGCACTGAGAGTAGGTACATAGCAACTTCACTGGTGTGGGGTCATATCAGTTCAGGTTCTACTCAGCCTCTGAGCAGGGGCTTGGGGGTCTCTTCTGTTTAGGCAAGGGCACATGGCAGTTTGGTCAGCTCAAGGGCAGGTTCATTCTGGGCAGGGCTGCCAGAATGTTCCTCCCTCTGGAAGTAAGGCAGCAGGGGGCTGGGGCTAGGCTCTGCACAGCTGGAGTTGTGGTGTTCAGTCACCTGAGTGGGCTTGGTGGAACAAAGATGGATTCCCAGTGTTGGCGAAGTGCAGTGACTACTGGTCCCCAGAGCAGGGTGTACTCCAGAGGTGTGTCTGGTCTCAAGATGGTGCCATGCTGTGGCAGCTTGGCTCACAGTGAGTGGATGGGAGAGTGGGGAGTACACACCTTGTGTATCCTAATCCTGGGCTGTGTGAATTCCCAGCAGCTCTCCAAACTGGGCTCAGGGCTTGTGAGGACTATGAGATTCTCCTATAATAAGGACTTTAGGTGTTTGTGGTGGCATTGGGGGTTGGTGGGGATCCTCTGCTTACCTTTTCCCTGCAAAAGGAAGTCCCTCCTGACTCTGAGCAGATCTGATCTAGGCATGGCCAATGGGGTTGCAGAGGCTGGGTGCCTTCGTCCTGCCCTCTTGGACTTCCCACCACCACAGGTGTCTCTCCACTCTCCCTCTGCATTACAGCACTCTCCCTTCAATACTCTAGTCAAATTTTAACTGTTTATTCATTGCCTTGGTTCTTCCTTGTGGAGGGGATGAACACCAGGCATCTCCAGTCAGCCATCCTGATGATGTCACTTCTGTAGTTTTAAATTTTACAGTTTGTGTGTAAAGATCTTGCTCATATTTTGTTAAAAATTATCCCTAGGCATTTAATGTACTTTGGTATTATCCTAAATTGTTTTTAAATTCTTATTTTCTAGAGGCAAGAATATTCTTGGTATTTTGGGGGGATATATTCTTATCCCCTATCCTTGGGTTGGGGAGGCCTCTGGGGTTCTTGTATGATTAGTCTTGTCTTTCCTCAGCTCATACACCTAAAGTCAACAGTCCTCGATGTCCTTACATTTGACAAGGAGTGACGGCCCATCACTGCAGCAGCAGAAACTGGAGTCTACCCACGATGATAAAATCCTAAAGGCACAGAATATGAAATCCCAGGTGTCTAAACCTACATATTCTGAGTCTACTATTACCTGGGCCTCCCACTCCTCAAAGTTTGAGTTATTGCCTACTGAGTCATTGGCTGAGAATAAATTTTCCTACTCTCGGTCATCACACGTGTTCTCTGTTGAAGATAATAAAGAAGCACTGAAGACTGTAGACAAACATGAGCCAAAGGATGAAGCCCCCCCTGAACGACCATCCTGGGCCAATAAAACTGAGTACCTCCTGGCCCAGGTGGGCTTCTCTGTGGGGCTGAGCACCATCTGGCGCTTTCCTTATCTGTGTTTTCACAACGGAGGTGGTAAGCATGGGTACCAAGACTCATGGACCTCAAAAGGGGGTGAGGAACCAGAGGCCTGTCCTGGCTACTCTGGAGTCTCTGAGATATCTCTGAAAGATGTGAGGACAGAGGATTTGGGATCCTGACTGGGGCAGGAACCAGGTACCTGAATACCCAGGACCTTTTGGAGGATGGGGAAAGGGTATCTGAACACTTAAATTCATGAGGATGGTAGGGCTGAAAGCCTCGGTCAGATGTGGGGGTGGAAACTAGCTATCTAGGTCTTCCACAAATTGGGAATGAGGAAACTGGATACTGAGGGCTGTGAGGAACGTGGAAACAAGTGAGCCTGATGCCTGTGGCCCTTAAGGATGTTGCTGGTGGAGAGTGCATATCCCTGGATCCTTGAAGAAGTCTAAATACTGAAAGGCCATATAATTCTCAGAACTCCTCCTGAATCCTCTTCATAGGCAGTTTTATCATCGTCTACATCCTCATGCTGTTCTTCCTGGGAGTTCCTCTTCTCTTCCTGGAGATGGCAGCTGGCCAGAGGCTGCGTCAGGGCAGCATTGGTGTATGGAAGGTCATCAGCCCCTGGCTTGGTGGTGTAGGGTATGCCAGCTTCACGGTGAGGAGCCCTGGGAGGCCCAGGCCTATCCTTTACATCCTCCTCCAACCCAACCCTTATTCTGGAATGGGTCTCATGACTTCACCTGAATTATTCATCAAGTCCTTTCAGTTCCCCAATCCTCAGGTCAAATTCTGTTCTTTCTGCTGGCCCAGCTATTTTCCCCTGACTCCAGAATTCTTCGTGGTCCCTAGGTTTGCCTCATTGTGGGCTTGTACTACAGCATGCTTATGGCTTGGAGTCTCTTCTATTTGGTTCAGTCTTTCCAGTCCCCACTGCCTTGGTCATCATGCCCCACACTGAGGAACACCAGTGATTTTGGTGAGAAGAGTGGGAAGACAAGGGCAGGTTGGAGGGCTGAGGAAAGGACTGGGTGATGAAGAAGGAAGAAGGATCACTGAGAGAAGAGAGGTGAACAGGAAGATGATGAAATGGGACTGGAAGGAGGGGGTGGAGGTAAAGAAATGGGAGGCACTTGGTCTTGCAGCTTCCTCCATGGCCAATTCACCTCAGATCCTGAATGTGCACGGACGACATCCACCACATACTTCTGGTACCGGAAAATGTTGAAGGCCACAGATGAAATTGAGATGGGTGGACTACCAGTCTTTCATCTCGGTGTGTGTCTCTTTGTGACCTGGTTACTTATCTGCATTTCCATGATGAAAGGGCCCAGGTCCATTGGGAAGGTGAGTTACCCCCTAACTTACTAATCTGATAGATTCTCTTGCATCTAATATTCTCCTAACTTTGATGCCTGTAGATCTCCCACTTCTCATTCCTTTTAATCTGACCTCTAAGTCCCAGTGGCCATTGAGACCTGCTATCCCCAACTTTTGTCTTTGCTGAACTCTCTTTCTGAACCTTACTTTCTACCTAGATGCTGTATGTCTTAGTTCTTCTTCCCTACATCATACTTTTTGGTCTCCTTGCCTGGACTCTACTGCTGGAAGGTGCTATTTTTGGTCTCAAGGCTTTGTTAGCTACCGAGGTGAGGTGTCCCCTATCCTTTAATTCTCTAATCCTAATGGGGTTGTCAAGGACAGAATGGTTACCAGTCTGATAGAGGCCCTCCTAGCTCCTTTTACGCCCTTCGTCTCGTCTTTCATCTCTATCCTGGTTTACCTCTGCTCCCTTTATATCCTTGTTTGCACGACACTTCTGTCTTTCAGGTAGCAGCCCTGTACTCTTTGAAAGTGTGGCGCCGGACAGGAAACCAGGTCTTTTTGTCCATGGGTGCTGGCTTCGGCAGCTTCACTGCAATCAGCTCATATATCCCTCGGTCCAACAACTGTATCAATGATGCCTTTGCTGTGGCTTTTCTCAACTTGGTCACCTCAATGACTGCCACGTTGGTTGTATTTTCCATCATAGGCCACTGGGCCACAGTGAACACCCGAAAATGTTACCAGAAGTGAGCCCAATCTTTCATATGGAGATCATCACAAAGACCTCTTAGAAAGATCATCGCAAAGAAAGTCTTAGAGATAGCCCACAGAACACCAGTCTACACCCCCATCCCTCAAGAATTTTGACTCAGTCAATATAAAGCCCTCAAATTAGAGCATCCCAAACCTTATAATCTCTCCAACTCTATTTCAGAGCTGCCTTTCTAATCTAGGAAATCCCCCAAATTAGAGGTTTTTAAAGATGTGGTCTCTGGGAGGCCGAGGCGGGCGGATTGCTCGAGGTCTGGAGTTTGAAACCAGCCTGAGCAAGAGCAAGACCCCATCTCTACTATAAATAGAAAGAAATTAATTGGCCAACTAATATATAGAAAAAAATTAGCCAGGATTAGTGGCACATGCCTGTAGTCCCAGCCACTCGGGAGGCTGAGGCAGCAGGATTACTTGAGCCCAGGAGTTTGAGGTTGCTGTGAGCTAGGTTGACACCACGGCACTCACTCTAGCCTGGGCAACAAAGCGAGACTCTGTCTCAGAAAAAAAGTGTGATCACCCCATTCTTAACTGGGGACTGCCATGGAAAAACTAGGGAATACCTTCAGCTGAACCATTAGACAAAAAAGGGGGCCATAGTATGGAAGCCCACATAACCTGCTCATTCCCCATTTTGTCTCCTATGACATTCATTCCAATATTCCATTCATTCCAAATATTCTAAAAATATTTATCAGATATTTATAAAACATTTCCTATCTACCAACTCCTGTGTTGAGTTCTGGAAATATAGCCAATGAGGCATCAGATCACCATCCCTGGCCTCAGGAAAATCACAGTCTTTTGTGGAAGCAGACACTAAACAGATAATTACAAACTGGATGAGAACAGGTGATAGGGAGACACAGAGGAGGGAGCCACTAACTGCCTGGAGCAGCCAGAGAAGGGTTCTTAGTGGAAGCAGTCAAACCCAAGCTGAGTTTATCTCCTGAAAAATAATCACTACTAGTATTCTTTCAAATATTTCCCATTCCTATACCTATGTATAAAAATATATCATCTTTAAAAAATGTATCATACCAAACTACTTTTCTGCAGCTTGTTGATTTGCCCTTTTGCAAATAGATCTTTTAATGCTTTTCCATAACAGTAAATAGAATTCAGTGAGCTGAATAAGAATTTTTAGAAATTGGCCATATGGAGAATGAGTACAGGGCTAGAGTTCAGGTGGAAAGTTCTAAGCAGAGAGAGCATCATGTACCAAAGGTACTGATACAAGAGAGAGCATGGCAAGTTGAAGAAGGCTTAATAGTTGAGAATGTCTGAAGAATAGAGAGTGAAGAGAATTGTGGGGAAATATGTGATTGAAGAGGCCAGCAAATCAAGAAGCAGAGAAGCTTTAGTGTTATCCTGGGATTATCTAGTGGTAGGTAAGAGTCTTAAAGCCCTCAACTCTACTGTCAGAAAGATACCACTGGGAGTTCATTTAAATCAGAAATTCTCCAGCCTCACACAGACACCTTTGTAATTATGAAAGCAGGTGGCAGGCAGGCAGTATACACTAGGATCCTGGAGACCTGGGTTTCAGTGCAGGCTCTACCTTAACCAGATCAAAAACTCTGGGCTAGTGATTTCCCTTCTGATCTAGAGAATAAAGAAGGAGAAGTTATCTTCTAGGGCCAAATGGTTTATATGAGTCTGTTCCTTCCACAGTAATACCAACAGAATGATGACACTGGTAGCAGCTGGAATGCTGCCTTCTGAGGTCCAGCCCCAAGATAGTGTGTATCTCGATCCAAACCTCATTTATCCAAGGTGGCTCAATAGCCTCCCTGAACAAGTCAAAAGTGAAGTCCTACAACAATCGACTGATTGCAACTTAACTTGGCAATTGGAACAGGTAGGTAAGAGTTAGAGATGGGGCCCTAGATTTCCCCAAAGTCCCCAGTGTACCCAAACCTTCAGCTTTCCTTAGTGTGTCCGTAGAATCCAGAAAGGCAATTCTCAACTGCACACTGGACAGCCAAGACCAGGGTTCATGGTGTCCTTTTGTGACAAAGCTATTGTGGCTTCCTTAGCACCAACCACTACAGTTAACATAAGCCTATTCACCCCAACCCAAAAGAGTTGCTTGACCCAACTATAGTAAGAGGAAGTCCCCATGCTTCAAAGCCTAATGACTGTAGTAATGTCCATTAACAGTGCTGTTAAACAGTTTCCTAGGGGAAGGGACAGGAATGGAGTTAAGAGTCTCTATGCTGAGCCCAGAGCCCTCACCATTCCTTCCTTCACTCATAGGCTATGGAGGGTCCAGGTGTGACATTTGTGGCATTTACTGACCTCATCTCTGTGCTTCCTGGACCCACCCTCTGGGCCATCATCATCTTCCTGCTGCTGCTGACCCTGGGGATGAGCACCATGATAGGGATTGTTCAGGGCATCATTACCCCTCTCCAGGACACATTCTCCTCCCTCAGGAAACATACGAAGGTGCTCACAGGTAACCTGACCTATGACTTCACTCCCACCTAAGGCTGTTATTTAGCTGAACCCAGCTGGGACTCGTACATAGGCCAGCTTGAATTCTGACTTTGATCCAAACCTGATGTTTTCCTCCAGTGAGTGTCTGCATGCCTATGTTCCTGGGCAGCCTCATTTTTGCCGGGCCCTCGGGCAGCTACTATGTGAATCTGCTGGATGATTACTGGGCATCTCTGCCCCTCTTCTTAATTATCATCTTGGAGAATGTGGCCATGGCCTGGATTTATGGGGCCAGGAGGTATGTCCCAAGCCCAGGATTCTCCTGCCATGTACCCATACAGCTAGGGTCTGTAAGGAGAATTGGCCTTTTCCTTGCTCTCTCTGCTCTTACCCCTAGATCTCTGATCTCAGGGCCTAGGGAAAGCCCTGAGGGGAGGAAAGGAGAAAGGCATGGGCTGCTTCCTAGAGAAAATAGCTGTGAAATGGTAAAGTGGTGGGCAAGTCCATATCAAGTCCAGAACGCTCTTGAGCCCTATTTTTAACCAGAGTAGTGTGGGCTTCTAAAACACATAGTCTCTTGCTTCTCAAAATGTGGTCTGTGGACCAGCAGCATTGATATCATTGGTATCATCTGGAAGCTTATTAGAAATACAGACTCTTGAGCTCCACCCAGACCTTTGAGTCTGTATCTGCATTTTAACAGGATCTTCAGGTGACTTACATGCACAATAATGTTTGAGAAGCACTGTGTAGTCCAAGGGTGGAAGCCTTTCTAGTGGTTCTTGGCATCAGTTTGTGCATTCATACACTCACTCATTCTCACATACTTTTTAGGGCCTCCTATTGACAGGCTTGGGATCCTGGGATGAATTATATTTAGTTTCTGCTCTCAGAGTGCACAGTCCAAAGAAAAAGACTTACGTAAGCAGATCCCCAGGCAGAGAGGTAAGTCTATAGCAGAGGTAGCTGAGGGCACTCTAGAGACAGTTATCTAAAGAAGTATGAAGAATCAGGCAAAGTATCTTAGAGGAGGAGATTCTTTTTTTTTTGTTTGTTTTGTTTTTTGAGACAGAGTCTCACTTTGTTGCCCAGGCTACAGTGAGTGCCGTGGCGTCAGCCTAGCTCACAGCAACCTCAAACTCCTGGGCTCAAGCGATCCTGCTGCCTCAGCCTCCCGAGTAGAATGACAAGTAACCTCTCAAAAAATAATGTAAACAAGATGACAATGGAATGAAAAATTTAAAGTGCTAAAAGAAAATAACTGCGAATCTAGAATTCCATACCCAGAAACATATCCTTCAAATATTAAGATGAAATTTAAAAATTTTTCAGACTAACAAAACTGGAAAGAATTTCATCAACAGAACATGTGCACTATAGGAAATTCTACAGGAGATTCTTCAGGAGGGAAAATTATTTGAGAGGAAAGATCAAACATGCAGAGACAAGAGTAATGAAAATGTAACATGTAGGAAAAAGTGACTGTACAAAAACAATAATAGTAACATCTTATTGGTCTTTAAATAAGTAAGTCGAGGGAGAACAAGAGAGAAGGGGATTCTAGGCAGAAGGAACCCAACGGGCATTTGTATTGCGATTAAGAAGGTGTACTAAAGAAAGCTGAATGTATGGGCTGGAAGAGACTGCCTTTAGAAACTTTTTCCTGAGGATGATGCCTTTTTCTTGAGGATGATGGGGGAGAAAAGTGTTTTTTTAACAGAGACCAGATTGGAAAGGGACAAATTAGAGGTAAGAAGACTGGTTATGGAGGGCTTGTGGAGGTGAACAGAAAGGTCTAAGAAATGTTAAAGGCTTTTGCCCAGGCTAGGCTTGGGCTAATCCCCGCCCCAACCCTTGCAAGGCTGGGAAAGTCTTGAATGGGTCTCCCAAAGTTTTGTTGTCCTTCCTCCTAGGCTCCTTGCAGACATGACAATCATGTTGGGCCGCTCTATCTCCCCCATATATCGTCGGCTGTGGTCCTTTCTGTCTCCATGTGTGCTGCTAATCCTGTTTTTGTCCACCCTGATTCATCTTTGTGGGGAGGATATCAACTATATGGCCTGGAACTCAACCTCAGTGAGCCTCCTTCCCCAGTAAATCCCCCTAAAGAGTGGGTACCGGACCTGTCAATCCACTCTTGCCTCTAGGACCCACTCAGAATATTCCCTGATTCCCTTGGGGGTTCAGTTATCTAGTCTCTTGCCCTAGCTCATCTCCCACCCCTACGCTCTGAAGCCTTCCACTTCAGAGAACCAAGGCATTCTAAACCTTCTTCTCCTTTCTCTACAGTCAAATGAAGAGCGCCAAATCTATCCATCATGGGCTAAATTCTTACTCGTAGTTCTTATCATTGTGACCATCTTGCCCATCCCTGCCTACTTCTTGTACACCCTCACTACTGTGACTTTCCCAGTCTGCATGATAAACAGTGGGGCCACAGTTGTCTTCAAACCTGAAGATAAAATTAACTCACAGAAGTCTCCTCCATGGATTCAGGAGAGGCCAAGTCCCAAAATAATGAATAAAATGGATAAATAACCAGGGGGAAGACTTTCTACCATGTGAGTAATTCCTCTTAGAAATAAAGATTTGGTTCATTAGGCATAACATCACCTCTTTTTCAAAGTGGACCTCCCTGGCTGGCAAGTTGGCATTAGAAGAGAGAAACATGGCAACTGCTAATGTAACTAGACCCAAAGACCTTTTATTCTCTTGGATTGAGAATGTTGTTCTGGCCTGATGGGGACTAATATAGCAGTCATTCCCCACATCACCAACACTTGCTCTCACCAGACCCTTAATAATGGTGGGTTTTTTTGACTTTCAGCATTTGATTGATGGTGACTGCTGATACTACATCTTGTAGGCTACCCTCCTCTGGGAGTTGGTCTGTACTACGTCTGGTCCGTGCTACATCTGGTCCCTATGAAACTGGGGCAAAAATAGTGCTGGTAAATAAATCAGTTCAGTTGAACCTTACTTTTGTCATTAAAAATCATATAACTCCCAGTCATGCCTCCAATGGCTTTGTTAAATTTAAATGCTAGAATCCCAGGTCCCCTCTACCTGGTGCTTCCTATAAGTAAACTGAGCCAGGTGGAGGGAACTCTCTTGGAAAATAGCAGATTGACTGATTATGGCAAAGTCGGCTGACCCCGGGGGCCTCTACCAGGCAAGAGTTAGACTCTGTCTTCAAAAAAAAAAAAAAGAGCCTTAGTAAAAATATAGATGCTAAGTAAAGTTTTAAGGCACTTGGTAAAGTAATCAACTACCCCAAGGATTTAAGAGCTATATGAAGAGGTCATCAATTAGCAGGTAGTTAAC